TGCACAGCAAGCCGTAATGAGAACCAGTAATATGCAATTTTTCATTTATAAGTAGGTTTTTGAGACTACCAGTTTATCACATATATATAAAAGATGTATTCATCCTATTGCATTTAAGGTGACGAGGAGACTGGTGGCCAAATTTTCCCACAATGACATGAATGGGTCTCACATGTCCATTCAATTTCATATAGCCTTGCTTTCCCAAAAGTTATTCTCGTCAAGACAGCAGCGGACTGCAATTTGATCTCGCCTTAACTGATCTCATCAGCACTCCCATCAATACTAGGAATATGATAGTGTTGCCTATCAGCTCGACACGTTAACTACTAAGTCACGTTGCTATGAGTGACTAGGCATTTTTCAATATCACATTAGGTGGTGGGATTGTAGAGGAAACGAATTTATGCTTTCTTGGATAAGAATACCTTTTGGGAAGCAAGGCTCTATGAAACATGATGTCTACTCATATCATTGTGGGAAAATTTAATTATGTGTATTATGGGACAAAAGTTGATGAGAATTTTGTGTGTGTAAACTAAGACGTATAGAATACGTAACCATAACTAGAACTATGACTAACAAATGTGTAGTTGAATTGAAGCACAATACCCTCTGCACCATAAGCTTTATCTTACCGGTATTCCTGACATTCAATATATTTATAACCTAAATTGTTTATTTCGATGACCACACTAATTTTGCGCTTAGCTGCAGTCATTAAACAGGGATGACTTGGGACAGATATTACTTTCTATCCTAATTTATTTGAGATATAATTGCTGATTTCGTACATATACATGGATACGAAAACACCCAAATATACACAAACACAGATGCATATATTCTTTGTTTACATATTACTTGATATAACCAGATCCCTTTATTCTGCATCAAAATACTCCAATTTTAGGCCTGGCAGCAGACATATCGGAAGCAGCAAAATGACAAGTTTAAGACCCTTCTATTTCATCTCAAAATTCTGCTATTTGTTAGTCTTACTCTAGTCGTTAATTCCTTTATCCTTTATGGTCAATTTAATATTGAGCCGTCCGTCCACTAAATTGCTGGAAAGTCTTCTCCACACGAATGGGGGCGCATGAACACACTGTTTTCTAGCTGATTGATCTGGAAACGGGTTCAACTTTCACTCTAAAATTGGGCACAACACCCTTATATCCAAGAAAGAAATGAGCACAGCACATTGATATACCAAGTCTACTCAATGCAAAGAGGTTAATATCAAGATAAAAACCACATCATCTTGATCGTGATCCCTTTGATTATATTTTGGTACCTGAGTAACAAGATCTTTCAAAGTGCTGAATGGTAATTAAATTGTTGACATTGTGGTGAGGTGAAGGCCTACTATGCCACTAAATTCCATTCAGCCTTGCCACAAAAATTGTTATCTAATTTCTTGTAGGATGGCAAATTCGAGGCCATAAACGCATTTCACAAACGAGTTTAGCCAATTCCCTAAACTAAAGATAAACTCTGAGACATTTTCTCCTGAATAATCACCAGCGATTGATTCGATCACAGAATATGATTTGCATCGATACATTTTTGCTACATTTTGTATCCTTTCAGCGAGGATACACTTTCCAGGATGGATTACCAGCCTGAACTCGCCAAGATCTAGCTAGTGCCCAGTGGGATTTTTAAACATAGTTCAGGTGAATTGAGCCACGAACAGGTTACTCAGACAGCACAAGACTGGCAGATAACTGCCTAATGATACGACGTCTATTTCGGGATCGCAAAATAGGCTCATCTAAATCTTCCCTTGTGAAAAATGCTGAGCTGTCAGTAAATCTCACTTGTGGAGATAACCTTGCAAGGCCACACAATAAATATTTATGTGCAATAAGTGTATTTTAATTGGGATGCTAAATTAAATTTAAGGTTCTTCAAATGGTCGGTTATGTAGCAAAAGTTGCAGTATTCAGAGCCAAATAAGAATAGTCGTCTGATTCACCGATTTTGTTAGCAAATTGTATTAGGAGAAGAAGGAATGTACCACCTTTCCTTACAAATAGATTTGAGAAATACGAGATCCTCAAAAACTATTTGAAAAATGTGTAGCCCAAGACTGCAACTACAAAGGGAACCATCGCTAAAAAGCCTACTTGAACCCAAGTCACTGAGCTATCATTGCTTTGATTAGAAGCAAGCGTGATGGAAAATGAGTTATTAGAAAAAAGGATATTCAGGCCGTTCGTAAACAGTCGAATTTATGCTAGTTTCCGTTTCTAGGCTAAATAAAAGGTAAATTGTATAATAAAACCAAGCGCTTGCCTCCGACTATTTAACCCTATTTAGTAACTTGCATAAATAAGCGGAAGTCAATTATAATAACTCCAAACCTGCACAAAGTCGGGAACTCTATTCAGATTGAGTAAGTTTTAATACTATATTTCGTATTCAAGAAAATTAACCGGCTTACGCTATTCAATATACGCTCGAACAACAATTAATTACAGCGAGTATTTAATGATTTGGTTTACTTACTTTCATGTTGTTCTAAAAGAATGTGGGTTTGTATGCATGCATATATGAATCCATGTTTGTTTGTCTGTTTGTATGATTTGTGTCAACTATTAAATAACAAGTAGGTATTAACTTTCACATATACCAATATATAAAATCAATTACCTCAACATAATAAGGATTAATTAAATCATTTTAAATCTTCTTTCTTTAGATTTTTTTGAGTTGTTATTTTTATATGATTTTTAGCATACAGTGAAAAGCCAGTTTGTCTTCCTAACTTGGTGCTATTTTGACTTATTTGCAAGAATGAGGTCTAAATGTGACAATGTCTATAAAATGACGATATAGATCATAGCGCAATCTCTTTTCACCATGTTGCTCATATATTTAACCAAATCAAATTTGTATGCAGTATACATTTATCACGCTATTCTCGAGAGATCGATTAAAAAATCGGATGATCAAGCACTTCCATATGAATTGGAATTCGCCATATAAAAATGTGAATTTCACACTAATTTATCTTTCCTGATTCACATGGCCTTTATGATCTGGCGATGTGTATTGAAGAATAGACATACCAACTGAACTACACGACTTATCAACGCAGTGTATATGAGTACTTAAGAAAGATGACTTTATAATCGAAGCGTTTAGATTTAATAACGATCATCCGATCCTTCATACTCGCTACGTGTCCATTCTATTGCAGTCATAATGCCCAATAATGACATGTAAACTTTTTTCCACAAAATGAAGTAGGAGCAATACGCAAAGCTTGTCAAACTCCTTACAAATTCCTTGAGAGGTTGGATAATTTTTATGTTGAATGTAACCGTGGCCATTGTCAACCAGTTGCCGATCCAAATCATTGGTTCATTAGCCTTCTAGGCCGATAGAGAGAACTCAAATGTGCTGCCTGTGCCTCGGTGGTTAATTCCAAGGGACATCACACAAGCTACCTGGCCTGATTTACGAAATAGACCAAGTTTCATAGGCAGTTCGTCTGGATTCGAGCCCAGGAGGTGTATGTGAATCGGCCAAAGTCCATTGCCACCTGATTTAAATTAAGTATATGCCTCTGAAACCTTACATTTTTAATCGAAGGTATGAAAACCAAGATGGTGTGGCCTTTTGTGTAGTCGCGGTCTCCTTTCGTTGTATAGAGGTTGTTTGACATTGTTTTCGCAACTTTGTCATATTGGTAGGAAGACTTAGAGAAATACATCTTGTCCGGAGTCCATTGTATGCATGATCATTTCCAAAGTTAAA